CCGAACCCCGAACTGAGCCAGCACCGCCGCCTCGCAAGGAAGGCAACCAGTCTCAGAGCGGAGTGGGGAGGCACGGGCAGCCCCGGCACCGCAGAGCAGCGGCGCGGGAGGAACAGATCGTGCCGGGGGACCCCCAGGGCCCAGTATTCGGGTTGACTCAAAAGGGGGTCCAGAGACAAGGGGGTGGCACAATATACTTGGTGCAATATATTGTTGGGGCTGCAGCCGGGTTGCAACACATTTGGGGCGTGCAATACATTCCGGGGGCGCAGATGTTTTGCTGGGTTTCCCCGTGCAGTCCATTATTTGCAATACAGTGCAACACAATTCTCCGGCGCAGTACACTTGCAATACAATTGCCCCAAATCTATTGTACCACACCCTTTCAGCTGGACCCCCTTTTGGGTCACCCACAGGACCAAGTCGGGCATGGCATGTTCCTCTACATACAGGAGGAAGCTCCAATAATAGTCAAAATAAGTAATACGGAGACGATTTTTGTTTGACACTTTTGGGCTGTTGTTGAGAAGTGTTTGACTCTTCTTCATTCGTCGTCCAACATCCGCCTGTAGGAGGACATGCCCGACCTGAGCCCAGGACCCGTTGCCCTCAGGACCCTTTCCCGTCATGCCTCGTCTCCTCCCGGTTGTCGAGGCCTCCGCACTGTCCGAAGTTTGTCTGTTTGAGCCCGCCCCCTGTTTCTAAAGCTGTGCCTACGCGCCTAAGCTGCGCTCGCCACGCTGCACGTATTGCCGCCGGGTCCGACTGACCTTCCAATTGTCGATCCTGAGGGGCAACGACAAGGGGGGGATAGGCACAGGGGGGGATGCGTCGACCCCCAATCGCCCATCGATCGCCGATAGGGGCCCGATAGCCCCAACCTGCCCAGGAAGGTGCGGCTTCGCTATCGGAGGCATATCGCCGATCTCTCGGCGATGCATCGCCGATGCCAGGTCGGTGCGTCCCCCCCCTTATGCCAGTCCCCCCCTGTCGTTGCCCCTCGGAGCCAGATGGCTCGACTTGTCTTCCTGCTGATATGCAGGGCAGTACAGACCGCCTCGGGCGCCCCTGACGGTGCAGGCGTGCTTGCCCGTCGACTGCGCCCGCCTCCCGGACCGGCGTGCGCCCGGCTGCGGCCCTGCGCCGCGTGTGGCTCGGCGACGTCTTCCTCCTCGGGGGAGGGAAAGCGTCCACCACCAGCGTTAGGTCGGGCCTGTCCCTCTCCACGAGGAATATCCCAAACTTGTAAAATTCTTTACGCTTCGCGTATCCCCACCAGCCCATCTCAAAACAGCAACTCTTGCGAAACATGCCGACAGTCGTGTTTTTCAGGCGTGTTTCCGCCTGCCCCCGCCTATCTCCCCTGTTCCTCCTTCCTCCCGCCTCCTTGTACATCCTCCTTGTGGTGGGAACGGGAGAAGGACGAGGCGGAGGAGGAGGGAGAGAAAGCGCTCCTCGTGGTTTGAGTCGTTTGGGGTTTCTCGTCCTGGTGTGAGTCGTTCGGGCCCTTCTTCCTGGTGTGAGTCGTTCGGGCTCTTCGTGGAGTGAGTCGTTCGGGCTCTTCGTCCTGGTGTGAGTCGTTCGGGCTTCTCGTGTTGTGAGTTGTTCGGGCCCCTCATCCTGGTGTGAGTCGTGTTCGGGGGTTGCCGGCCTCCACCTGGTGGACTCGTTCGCGGCAGGTACGGAGTGTGTGTGCGTCGTCTGCGTGCCCTCGCTGGGGTGTGCGGTCGTGTCTGGGCGTGGGCTCCTTCTGGGTGTGGTGAGTATTTTTCGGGAGGGCGCCACGCCCAGCGACTGGGAGTCTTGGCGGTGTGCCTCCTCCTATCTGGTGGTGATCGTTCGGGCTTCTTCGTGTGTGAGTCGTTCGTGGTGGGCGGGGGGGCCGACTCGACCCCCTCGCTTGGCGGCCCAGGGGCGTACTAGGGAGCGTCTGTGGGTGCCATCGGGGATGCCTCTTCGGCCACTGCGGGGAAGCCTCTGGAGGCGTTTGTGGTCCGTTCTTTGGGTGGCCTCTTGTGGGGGTGGCGGCCCCAGGGGCTTCCAGGAGCGTCTTGGGTGCCTCGGGGTAGCCTCTTGGGGCCTCTTGGGGGCCTCTTGGGGGCATCTTGGGGGCCTCTTGGAGGCCTCTTGGGGCCTCTTGGGGCTCTTTGGGAGGGGTCTGGGAGGAATCTTGGGGCCATCTGTCGGGCGATCGATCACAGATGGGGCGAGCATGTTTCTCCCTCCCCCCGTCGGGGCCAGAATCCTCGTGAGGGGTGTCGAATTTTAGCCCTCCCAGGAGTCGAAAAAGACCCCTCCAACGACCCGCGGAACGCCCTCTCCAGGCCCAGGGGGAGGGGGTAGGGGGAGGGGTAAACCCCTCCCCGAAGGGGAAGAAGGGGGTTGAGAACAGAGCGGGCTCTCTAAACCACTCACGCCCAAAGGGCTGGTGGGACTCAGAGTCTGGGGACGATTAAAAAAACATGTTTGATAAATTCTTTAAAATCCTTCTGCTGTTTTTACTTTTTCGCCCAAGATCCGCCTGTAGGGGGACACGCCCGACAGAAAACAACAGCGTTCCCTCGGGCTCAATCCCAAGACACCCCCGCGGGCCGTTTCCTCAGGACACGAGCCTCTGGACCTCTCGACCTCTTTCGCGGGGCTGGTGCCCCCCCTCCAGGCCACGGGGGCGCCCAGGATCGCGAGAGCCGGGGGGGGCACACCAGCACCGGCGGCACGCCGCCGTTCGGGAACCCACCGGAGTGCCGCTGTCGAAGGAACACCAGGCTTTCGGACAACGGGGACGCAACACGGTGACGGGCGTCAGGAGGGCGGAGGAGGAGGAGGAGGAGGAGGAGGCGGAGGAGGAAGGAGGAGGAGGAGGAGGAGGAGAGGAGGCGGAGAATGAGGAGGAGGGAGGCGGAGGAAGGAGAGGAGGAAGGAGGGAGGAAAGGAGAAGGAGGGAGGAGGAGGAGGAGGTGAGGAGGAGGGGGAGGGGGGAGGGTATGGGGAGGAGGAGGAGGAGGAGGAGGAGTGAGTAAGGAGGAGTGAGGAGAGGAGGAGGAGGAAGGAGAGGGGGAGGAGGAGGAAGAGAGGAGGAGGAGGAGCAGGGGAAGGAGGAGAGGAGAGGAAGGAGGAGGAGGAGGAGGATGAGGAGGAGGGATGAGGGAGGGGGGGGGGAGGGGGAGGGGAGGAGGAGGGGGTAAGGTGGAATGAGAGGGGGAGAGGGGGAGGGGGAGGGGGAGGGGGGAGGGGGAGGAGTTGGCGGAGGGGGAAGGGGAAGGAGGAGGAGGAGGGAGGAAGGAGGAGGAGGAGGGTGGAAGGAGGAGAGGGGGAGGGGGAGGAGGAGGAGGCAGCTGCGCGTCATAGCTGCGCTGCCTCCCGCAAAAGAGCGCCGAAGGTGCGGGCCCGAGGCCCCCGCTCGGGATCGGCGGCGGCGCCATCGAGGGCGGCGGCGGCGCTGGCGACGACGAGCACGACCGCCACCACCGTGACCGCGGCGACGTCCTCGACTGCGACCGCGGCGGCGGCGGCGGCGGCGGCGGCGGCGGCGGCGGCGGCGGCGGCGGCGGCGGCGACGACGACGACGACGACGACGACGACGACGACGACGACGACGACGACGACGACGACGACGACGACGACGACGGCGACGACGACGACGATGGCCGCGGCGGCGGCGCGCCTGCGAGCAGGTGCCGCCCACGGGCGCGGGGTGGCAGTCCCTGGACGCGCTGGTGCTCGGGGGCAACGACAAGGGGGGGGGGGGCAGAGGGTGGGATGCACCGCCCCCAGATCGCCCACTGGTCGCCGAGGGGGGTCTGATAGCCCCACCCCGCCCAGGAAGGTGCGGCGTCGCTCTAGGGGGCCTATCGCCGATCTACGGGCGATGTATCGCCGATTCCAGGTGGATGCATCCCCCCCTATGTCAGCCATGCGCAGAGGGGGAAGGGGAGGGGGCAAGGCGTCTTAGAAGCACCCCAGCTTCTCAGAAGGCGCGGGCATTGTCTGTAGATGTAAGGCTGGCGCCTTCTGAGAAGCCGCCTCCTTCTAAGAAGCCTCCCCCTCCCCCTAATTACACCCTTGTGCGCGCTGCAAACTACAGTCGACCCGTACAATTAGGATGCACGACAAGGGTGCAGGGGTTTTGGAAGGCCATGCCGACACTTTGCGAGAGGGGCGCGGCCAACGAAAGCGGCCAAGGATGGACCGATGAGGCAAGGATGCAAGGGTACCCTTGGGACGGCTGTCCATCCTCATCACGCGGGGAAACAAAGGGTACCAATACCACTACTCCCCAGACCTCTCCCGGGGAGCGTTCTGACCAGAATTTCGAAGCGAATCCAGCGGTGGCGACGAGGGCCTCCGAGGAGGCCAAAAAAGGAGAAAACGAGTGAGGGGTAGCAGTATGGGTCCCCTTTCCCCCCTCCAAGCCCAGACCCCCGACGTCATGATTCATGACGTCGACCCCCAGAGGTCTGGACCCCTTAGGCTTCCCCAGGACCAGTTCCTCATCCTGGGTTGTTCCCAACCCTCCTGCGTTGGGTACTCGTGTTGAGTAGAGCAGTGTGGTCGCCCCCTCCCCTCTCCTCCCCTCCTCCTTCTCTTCTGTTTCCCGTGTTCCCCTCTCCTCTTCTCACGTGATGCGTCGGGCTGCGATCTGCGAATTTGTCGGCACTTTCGTGGGGTTCTAGGAGGCCCCGCGGAGGTACGTCATACGCAGATCACCACTATAGCTCGCGGTGCCCTGGGGGACTGCGATCTGCGAAATTGTCGGCACTTTCGTGGGGTCTTGGGAGGCCCAGCGGAGGTACGTCATACGCAGATCACCGCTATAGCTCGCGGTGCCCTGGGGGGCTGCGATCTGCGAAATTGTCGGCTCTTTCGTGGGCTCCTTGGAGGCCCAGCGGAGGTACGTCATACGCAGATCACCACTATAGCTCGCGGTGCCCTGGGGGGCTGCGATCTGCGAAATTGTCGGTACGTTCGTGGGGTCGTTGGAGGCCCAGCGGAGGTACGTCATACGCAGATCACCACTATAGCTCGCAGTGCCCTGGGGGGCTGCGATCTGCGAAATTGTCGGCTCTTTCGCGGGCTCCTGGGAGGCCCAGCGGAGGTACGTCATACGCAGATCACCACTATAGCTCGCGGTGCCCTGGGGGGCTGCGATCTGCGAAATTGTCTGCACTTTCGTGGGGTCGTGGGAGGCCCAGCGGAGGTACGTCGTACGCAGATCACCACTATAGCTCGCGGTGCCCTGGGGGGCTGCGATCTGCGAAACCGTCGGCACTTTCGTGGGTTCCTGGGAGGCCCAGAGGAGGTACGTCCAAACGCGGATAACCTCTAAAGCTCGCGTGACCTGGGGGGTTCCTGCGATCTGCGAAATGGACGGCACATTTCGTGGTTTCCTGGGAGGCCCCAGCGGAGGTACGGTCCAATACGCATAAGATCCACAACAATAGCTCGCGGTGCCCGGCCCCCTGGGGCTGCTATCTGGAAATTGTCGCACTTTCGGTGGGTCGTGGAGGCCCAGCGGAGGTACGTCGTACGCAATCACCACTATAGCTCCGCGGTGCCCTGGGGGGCTGCGATCTGCGAAACCGTCAGGCACTTTACGTGGGTTCCTGGGGGAGGCCCGTAGGAAGTGCGATCTGCGAATTTGTCGCACTTTGTACGTCTTGGAGGCCCAGCTGAGGTTACTCTACGCAGATCAACCTCACTAATAGCTTGAGCTCCCTTCGCGGTGCCCCTGGGGGGGCTGCGATCTGCGAAATTGTCGGCACTATTCGCGGGCTCCTGGGATGAGCCCAGCGGAGTACGTTCCATAACGTCAGACATTCACCACTATACTCGCGGTCCCTGGGGGGGCTGCGGATCTCGAAATTGCGGCACTTCCGTGGGTCCTGGGAGGACCCAAGCGAGGTTGCGGCGTCATACGCAGATCACCACTATAGCTCGCGGTGCCCTGGGGGGCTGCGATCTGCGAAATTGTCGGCACTTTCGTGGGGTTCTGGGAGGCCCAGCGGAGGTACGTCATACGCAGATCACCACTATAGCTCGCGGTGCCCTGGGGGGCTGCGATCTGCGAAATTGTCGGCACTTTCGTGGGGTCCTGGGAGGCCCAGCGGAGGTACGTCATACGCGGACCACCACAAACGCTCTTTGTGTGTCTGTTTTGTATTTTCGCCGCTGCTCTTCTTGCTGCGCTCTTCTGACATCACTGCTGGGTGCTCTTCTTGCGCGCTGCGAGTCCTTCAGAATGCCATTCAGCCTAGAGTGGTCCTGAGTATACTCGCCACATGAATAGAAAGGGTTGGGTACGTCGCAGGGTAATTGTTTGACGGCCCCGAGGCCGGGTACGGGCCTCCAGAGGTCGAACATAGCGAAACAAATTCCGTCGTGATTTTTCCCCGGGTACCTTTTCCTCCTCCGATATGCGGGTTGACTGTACGCCGGCCCCCCCCCCCTGGCGCTGCTAATCAGGTGCTGCCGAGCTTCGCCACCGCCCTCGCGGCGAGGCCGGGCCGCCTCTGCGCGCTGCCCGCCGCGGCCTCCCTATCCCCCCCACGGGGACTGCCAGAGGTGCCCCATGGCCCGAGGTGCCCTATGGGCCGGTTTTCCACCACCACGACCATAACTGATGAGGGAGGAGGAGGAGGAAGAGGAGGAGGAAGAGGAGGAGGAGGAGGACGAGGACGAGGACGAGGAGGAGGAGGAGGAGGACGAGGAGGACGAGGAGGAGGAGGAGGAGGCGGAGGAGGAGGAGGACCTCCCCATCCTTCTCCCCCGTCCTACCTGTGGTGGTGGTGGGTGGATGATTGGCGACTGGCCCCCGCGGCCTGCAGAGCACCCCTCGCGAGGCGCAGGGGGCCGGCCACAGGGGGCTCCAAAGCCGAGCGAGAGGCTGTGGGGCAGGCACCTCTTGGGGCCAGGGGCACTTCTGGCGCCGCCCGCTCTCGAAGAGGCACGCAGGCGTGTGGTGCTCTCGGAGGTCCGCACGGCTCTGGGCGGACGTGGTCTTCGTGCCAAGCCCGCCCCCACCCAGCGATGAAGAACACACGCGCGTCCGCACGGCTCTGGCCCGATGTGGTCTTCGTGCTGCGCCCGCCCCCACCCAGCGATGAAGAGCAGACGCGCGTCGACATGCATGTTGGGAGGCCCGTGCGGCTCTGGCCCGATGTGGTTCTCGCGCTGCGCTGCGCCCGCCCCCACCCAGCGACGCAGAAAGGACACGCCTCGGCCAGAGCATTCGGAGGTCCGCTCGTGTTGCACAGATCGGCGCTGGACCCCCCTGGCGAAGCCTCCGGCGACCCCACCCGGCGCGCTCCGCGAGCCAGGGCGGGCCGTCTGGCGCGGATCCCACAGGTCCGCGAGGCCCTCCGAAAGGGTACGTTTGTGTTGTTATGGTTCTTTCTCTGGCCCCTCCTCCCTCTCCTCCCTCCTCCCTCTCCTCCTTCTTCTCCCTCTCCTCCCCTTCCTCCTCCCTCTCCTCCCTCCTCCCTCTCCTCCCCTTCTTCCTCCTCCTCCTCCTCCTCCTCCTCCCTCTCCTCCCTCTCCTCCTCCTCCTCCTCCTCCTCCTCCTCCTCTCCCTCCTCCTCCTCCTCCTCCTCCTCCTCCTCCTCCTCCTCCTCCTCCTCCTCCTCCCAGGTACCGATAACGCTACCTTTTCCTTCGTTTTCTTATGTTCAGGTCTCCTGCAGCCGCTAGATTCGCCTCGGAGTCCTGGTTTGAACGCACCCCCCGAGGGAGATCCGGGGAGTAGCGGTATCAATACCTTTGGCCTCCGCATCATACCTTCTTGGATTGGTAACGACGTGACGTCGTAGACCACGGCATAATCATTATTGATTTTGTTTCCCATTATTGCTGTGACCGGTCCGCGCCAGGGTGCCGACGTGGGTATATCGTCCCACCTCTCCGCCAGAGTTCGATGCAGTTTGGGTAAGGGTTGCCGTGGCCACGGGCTCAGACTTCCTGGGGCCGGTGCTGGTGGTTTCTAGTGCTGGTAAGGCTTCCTGTCGCGCACAGGCAGGCTCCCCCCCGGTACTCCCGGCTGGCATCAGCAGGCCTCCGCGCAGTCCCCGGTCCGGAGGGTTCCAAAGGGGGTTTTTGGGGAGAGGGTTTTCCAGGAGGGTTCCCCCAGGGGCTTCGCACCCCCTGCTTTGACGAGGTTCTGAGGTCCCTGGGGGGCTCTCTGGAAAACCCCCTCCCCCAAGCCTCCTTTGGAACCCTCTGGAGGGTAGTCCCAACACCCCAGCCCTGGGGTGCGTAGCGCCCCAGAGGGCGAGCCCTTCCCCAGGGCGGATCGTTGGCGCGCCTCGTCCTCGTCGTCGTCGTCGTCGTCGTCGTCGTCCTCGTCGTCGTCGTCGTCGTCTTCGTCGTCGTCGTCGTCGTCGTCGTCACGAGTCGTCACGAGTCGTCACGAGTCGTCACGAGTCGTCACGAGTCGTCGCCGTCGTCGTCGTCGTGGTCGAGGTGCCTGTTGCTCAAAGACATTGCTCAATTCCGCTTCAGCGATTTCGCTTTGCTTGGCGCGCTTGAGGACGGCCCGGATGCTTCTTGAAGTCTCTTTGGAACGCTCTCGGGGGCCTCGGGGGGAAGCTCTTTTGGGGGTGTCCTGGGAGCCTTTTGCGAGCGTCCTGGGGCTTCCTGGCGGTTCCTTGCGGGCGCCTGAGGGGCTCGTGGGAGCCTTTGGGGGGCCTCTTGGGCCCTGGGACACCCCGGGGGGGATGGCATTCTGACCCGGTACCCCACCCTTCCCGGCTGGAGATGGATCAAGTGGAAGTGGTATCCCTTCGACCCAACCACAAAGCTGCTCAATTACGCTTTGGCTGATTGGCTTTAGCTGGCGCGCTTCAGGAGGAGGGCCCAGGGGACATGGGGGAGCGGCGGCGACGGCGACGGCGACGACGTCGACGACGACAAATCAAGCGAAGCAGCTTCTCGTGTAGTGCTGGTTTTCTTTTTCATTGTTCTGCCGATCGGCTCGGGCCCTCGCACCCCACTCCCCTCCACGGAGTAGAGCTAGGCTGTGTTTCGGCACCTGTTGCAAGCAGGTGGAGTTTCCCCCATAGGACGCACTCTTGCAAACAGTCGCACTCAGCAGAGGTCTGGAGCCGGACCCCCCCTCCCACCCCTTCCGCTCAATGTCGAAACGCCGAATAAGAAAACGTTCACGACGCCGACAGGGTCGGCGGGTTTCCGTTGGGCTGACTCGCCTGGAGCGCAGGCTCACGATTGTCCGAAGAAGGTGGGGGAATTGGAAAGTATCGGAGAAGAGAGAAACCGAGGAGACGCCAACATCTCGCCGACAGAGTCGGCAGACATACAATCTCCTGGCACATCTTCCTGTGGCTCTTCACGTTCATCCCCCGCACCACATCCTCCGCCTCCTCCTCACCCTCCAAGACCTACAGGCGCACAGCGACGAGGACGATTACGATGATGACGACCACGCCGATGACATCGACGACGACCCCTTGACCTGTCCCGGGGCGCCTTCTGACCAAACTTCTGAGGCGGATCTTACAGAGCTCTCCAATCAGGGGCCTCCAGAACCTATTGGAGACCACTTCAGGGCCAGAAACGGTAGGGAACCTCGATCTTCGAGTTTCCTGCTTCTCATCTCTCCTCTTCCCGCTCCTCCTTGATCTCCCTTCTCCTCCTCCTGCTTCTCCTCCTCCTCCTCCTCCTCCTCCTCCTATTCCTCGATCTTCTACCCTCACGATTCTCCCCCTCGATCCTGGTCGTCGATCCTGGATCCTCGATCGTTCCTCCCCCGCCTCCTCGATCCTGGTCGTCGATCCTGCTCCTCGATCCTCCATCCTCCGCCTCGTCTCTGCCCCCCGCCCCGCCCCGAAGGCGCCCTCCCGAAAGCCCTCCCCGCAGGACGCCAGGCTAGGGCAGCGACGGCGCGAGGCGGCTTCTCCAGGCCCCCGGTCCTCCCCGAAAAGCAGCCCTCCCCGAAGACCCCCCCGTCAGGACGCTGGGCCTGAGGAGGAGGAGGCGGAGGAGGAGGAGGAGGAGGATGACGAGGTCCTCCTCCTCTTCCTCCTCCTCCCTCTCCTCCTCCCACTCCTCCTTCTTCTCCCTCTCCTCCTCCCACTCCTCCTCCTCCTCCTCCTCCTCCTCCTCCTCCTCCTCCTCCACCACCACCTCCTCCTCCTCCTGTTCCTGCTCCTGCTCCTGCTCCGGCTCCGGCTCCTGCTTCTCCTCCTCCTCCCTCTCCCCCATCCGCCTCCTCCTCCTCCTCCTCCACCACCACCTCCTCCCCCTCGATCCTCCCCGATCCTCTCCGAACTCAGCCCTCCCCGAGGGCCGCTGGGCCTGCGAAGGAGGAGGGAAGAGGAGGAGGGGGAGGAGGAGGAGGAGGAGGAGGAGGAGGAGGAGGAGGAGGAGGAGGAGGAGGAGGAGGAGGAGGGAAAATGGAGGAAATGGAGGAAATGGAGGAAATGGAGGAAATGGAGGAAATGGAGGAGGAGGACGACGAGGCCTCCCGGTAGGACGCTGGGCTGGGGCAGCGACGACGCGGGGCGGCCCCTCGGCTTCTCCGAGCCCCTCTCGCTGGAGCGCGCCAACGCCGTCACCATCCCCGGCAGCGGCCTGGTCGCGGAGGGGCCGCCTCCCGCGCGCCGCGCACCCTGCGCGCGCCGAAGACGCGGCCGCCCTGGGCAAGGGAGGGAGGGGGGAGGGAAGAGGGGGAGGGGAGGGAGGGGAGGGAGGGAGGGGGGAGGGAGGGAGGGTGGGGAGGGGGGGGGGAGGGAGGGAGGGAGGGGAGGAGGGGGGGGGGGGGGAGGAGGTAGGAGGAGGAGGAAGGGAGGAGGAGAGAGGAGAGGGGAGGAGGGGGAGGAGGTCGGGGGTCGGGGAGGGGCAGGAGGAGCAGGAGGAGGAGGAGGGAGCAGGGAGGAGGAGGAGGAGGAGGAGGAGGAGGAGGAGGACCAGTGTAAACCCAAGAGTCATCAACGATGTCGGAGTAAACCCTCTCTCCAAGCTCCCTCCAGACAGGCCCCTACAGCGCTTCATTTCCATTGATGGAACCGTCTCGTTGCATACCAAAACGCTGTTCTCGGGATTGCAACGCCACGGATCTACCTGACTGTTGCGTTTTGACGATCTAGAATCGTGCCAGAACGTCATATCTAGGACTGTGTCAGCACACAGAATCAACGTAACTGTTGCACCCGCATTATCACGGTTCTCGCCAAAACACCACCATTTCTAGTACGCTGATGATGGGAACCAGTGGAATTGTTGAACATATTGTGCAAGAATGTGCGCGGCGCTGAGGCGGGAGCCACATGTTGAAAAGGAACCGCCTTCAATCCGTGAAGCTCGTAATTTGTTTCAACGACTGTTCGCGGCGGTGAGGCGGGGTCCATATTCTGAAGACCACTCGCTCTCAATCCGTGAAGTTCTCGCATGTTTTTGAAACGAATGTGCGCCGCGCGAGAGCGAGAGCCACATTTTGAACACTCACTCTCAATCCGTGAAACTCTTGCAAATGTTCAAGAGGGATGTGCAACGCGCTAAGGCGAGAGCCATACATTGGAAACGACTCGCCCTCAATATGTGAAGCTCTTGCAGATGTTTCAAACGAATGTGCGTCGCGCAAAGACGATAACCACATTTTGGAAACGGCCCGCCCCCAACCCGTAAAACTCTTGCAAATGTTTCAAACGATTGTGCGCCGAGCGAAGGCGAGAGCCACATGTTGAAAACGATCCGCCGTCCATCTTCGAAATTGCTGTCAGTGTCGAAGCTACAGAATCATAAGCGGTCAGGAAGTCTCAGGCGAAACGCCCGGCTTGCCCTAAAAACTGGCCTCGGGGTGCGACAGGGAGAAGTTATTTATTAGGAGAAGGAATGGAGGAAAAGAAGGAGGAGGAGGAGAGGGGGAGGAGGAGGAGGAGGAGGAGGAGGAGGAGGAGGAGGAGGAGGAGGAGGAGGTGTGGGACGGGGAGGAGGTCGGGGAGGGGCAGGAGGAGCAGGAGGAGGAGGGAGCGGGGAGGAGGAGAAGGAGGAGGAGGAGGAGGAGGAGGAGGAGGAGGAGGAGCAGTACAAACCCGAGACTCAACAACTATGTTGGAGTACGCCCTCCCTCCAAGCTCCCTCTTCATGGGCCTCTCACAAGGACTCCTTCCACTGAGGGGAATTCCCCGTTTGGGGGCAACTGCGTGAAAATATTGAAGCGTACCCCTCCAAACAACCACCATGCTCAGGACTCACATGCCACGATTCAGTATGACGGTGCGTCTCGACGATCCTGAATCATGCCAGAAAGCCATTCCTGGGACTTAAACACCGCGAATTTGCGTAATTGTTGCTCCCTGGCAATTTTGAATCTCGCCCAAACACCGTTCTGGCACTTGAACTATGCGAGTCAGTAAAACCCGTGCGAATTTTGAAAACACATGTGCGTAGGCGAGAGCCCCACGTTGAAAACGAACCGCCTTCAGTATGTGAACTTCTTGCATGTTTGCATGGGATGTGCGCGGCGTTGAGGCGACACATTTAGAAACCGCGTGTCCTCAACACGTACAACTCCTGCAAATGTTTACAACGAAAGTGCGCGGCGCCGAGGCGAGAACCCCATGTTTACAATGACCCGCATTGAATACGTGAAGTTGTTAATCATGTCCACAGCGAATGTGCGCGGCGCTCAAGCGAGGAGAGCTTGTGATATAACACAGGGGTTGTCACGACCATGGTATGAAATGCATACCTAGATGCGACATGTGTAAGCATGTACGAGCTAAATCGACAACGCACATG